GAAAGGCTTTTAAATTTTGATTACTTGTAAGTTTAACTATTATTATTTACATATATTTTTAAAGTATTTTTGATTGATATTGCAAATATATAATCTACGAACAATGATTTATCAAGAATATGTCATGGTTTTCGTTTTATCCTATTGTTATATATAAAATACAATTATGCAAATAACTACAGCCGTATGCCGGCTATGTTTGAGTAAAAATAAACAAATATAAAATTATACATTATATCGGTGTATCTCAATGGATCAAAAATAAGCATCATTGTACTCGCTTTGTGAACTAATTCGACTAAATATCATCATTCATCACACTTAGTATATTTTAGAACATGGTTTGCATTTCACACTACTCTCTAAACTTTCCTAATACCTCTATAACAACAATCTCTCAAACTTTCGTCAAAATCAGTCRAGTATTCTTCGAGTCTATATTAGCTAAAACTTAAGAACTCTCATATTGTTGTATATTTGAATAACAAACAATATATCATATTCTTTTTTTATTTAAAAAGAATTCCATATTCGTTTGCATGGCTAATCACGCAATTTTTTTTAAATTGGATTATATGTATAACATACAGGATGATTAACCTAACATGCTCACTAAAAATTCTTGAAATTTTTTTATACCACTTAAGAACTGTTCTGTGGAGATGCAAACTTTTGTTTTTCAAATGAGAACCCCCTCTTTTTTTACTGTAAACTATTTAGCTGAAAATTTTTTGGAGAATCAAAATTCGAACGAGTAGTTTCTTAGTTATTAATATGTTTGTACTAAGGATAAAAGTCCTTAAAATCGTTTTACAAAAATATAAAATACTCATACTATTGGAACTAGTATTTATGATACTTAGGTCGTTATCATTTATCAGGCATCACTTAATTTTATCAGGGATATGAAATATATATGTTACGCCGAATTTATGAAATTGCCGATTTCATGAAATCTGCAACGCTGTTGCCGACAACGTGTAATCGGCAACTATGCCACCAAATTCACAAAATCGGCAAATTTTGATTGCTAATTTCATGAAATAGGCACACTTTTTTCTGCCGATTTCATGAATTCGGTAACACATTCAGGCACGTC